TACAGATCAGTTCACTTTCAGAAAAAGAAGCAGCACTTAACGGCAGGGATAAAGTCCTTCAATGCAAGTATCTCTGGCAAGGTGAGTTCAACATTGTGTAAAGTAAACTACAACTGATTTCTATGACTTCTAGAAAGACAAAAGTTTATACTGATATTGCTATAGCAAAATCAATCTCCTGGTCTGCTATGTCTGACATAGGTTTTTGTTCTGTGAGTCAAAGACTGAATTTTAGGAACAACAGAAATTAACAGAAGAATATACTTATTGAGATAAAGAAAGCTACCTGAGACACAGAAGGGGTCCTGAGCAGGTTGCCAAACACTGTCCTTTCTAGGGATCTTTATAGAGTAAAATCATGTGGTGAAATTAGTTTAAGGAGGGGAAAACGAGGAACTCACAATGCAGATGTGTATAAGATGGGACAGAGCTAAGGCAGCCAATAAGATTATAAGTTCAGGTAAAGTTGATTAAATTGGGAACAAAGAGGGAAGGGAGTCACATAGAAAGGAGACATTCTTAGGAAGCTGTGACTTCACTTAGGGGTTTGGGAGGGTGACTACTGAGGTCATCAGGATGACAGGAACTACGTAGAATGTCAGTCTTTAAAAGGATATATTTCTTTGAATGGTGACTCCTAACTTCCTCAGAGTGCTAGGGAACTATTTAGAATATCAATCCTTAGGATATGAATGAATTTGCTTGTCATTTGTCTTCAGCCTTGGCCCATAGCATGAGGTTTCAGTCTTCCCTATAGTTGCAAGCTATCTGGTCTCCTGCATGGGCTCTTTGGGGGACCTAGCCCTGTCTCTTGCCAATAGTATTTAAATAACTCAGGTCCCTGTAACAGTACTGTTTGGAAAATTGATTACAAATGTCTTGTGCTCTATGTGAATGATCTGGGGATGACCATGTTCAATGTATATACCAGTGTTGTCCCCTGATTAACATGTTTTGAAGTTTAATTTTAGTTGATGTGTTCTCCTTTCCTTGAAATCAAATGGATTTGAAAATTAAAAGCCTGAGGTAAAGCTCTTCAGTACAAACACTCCTCTGTCAAGCTGAGTTCACCACTGTAGAAGAATGAAAGCTCCAGAAGCTTTAGCACTACCGTCTATCATTTGGGATCCTCTCTTGCAGGGAGGGGTTCCTTTCCCTGTTTATTCTTGACTCAGAAGGAAGGCAGTAGAGCAGGAGTCAACAGTGATGAAGGGGCAGGCTATATGAACTGTCCAATCAGACGGGCCATCGCTGGCTGTGACTTCTGACTCTTCTGATGTCTCATCATGATTTACCTGTTCTGAGTAAAATACTGTTAGCAAAATGCATGCTGGATCTCATTTAGTACTTTTGATGTCCTGTGGCCTGATTATCAAAGGACCAGAGAGATCTTGGAGCCATGGAATGGTGAGGTTGTGGATGGGAGCCCAGAAATATGGTGGATTGGGTGAAACCAGTTACAAGTGTTTAGGAGTCGTTCTGGTGTCTGGAGCCTCAGGTATTTAGTTAGCTTCAGCTCCTGAGGTCCTCAAGCATTGGCCATGAGTCATTCACTGTCCCTTTTGCCTCTTGCTGTTGGAAAGCGTGATTTGGGGTCCCCCGAACCCTGGCTCCACTATGACAGCAGCATACTCAAGTATCATCTTTGAAATTCACTGCTGGCCCGGTAACTCCACAATCTTAGGCATTGGAAGGAGCTTTGGAAGACCCTGACTATGACACTTTTTGTAGCTTGTAGAGCAGTAATGAGCTACGTCTCTGCTCTCTTTCCTGAGAGTAGTTGATCTGGAATTTCCAAAGTTCATTAATGCCTGTAATGCAGGGCCTTATAGTCACAATGGCTCAAATTAAACTTTGGCTTTTTTTGTATTTATAGTGATCTCCTATATTTATAGTATGTTCTCATATTTCCATCCTCATGACAGGTAGGGGAAAAGATCCTGAGAATTCTGAGATGTGTAGTAATGTGCCTCAGTAGAGGAAGGCTTCCCAAACACGTGGTAAACTCCTGTGTATTATACAGAACAGTGCAAAATAATTTCTGAACATAATTATTTATGTGGCACCCCTGCTCACAGACTAGGTTTGTGAGCACAGCCATAGAGTTTTGAAGTTTGAGCAAAATGAAGCAAATATGAATGTGTTATCAAGGACAGGGTAAAAATTTGTTAAGGACAAATTCCAGAAAGGGCTACCTGTTAAATTCTCATCAAAAAATGCCAAAATTTAGGAATTTGCATGGACATATACGCACGATATCCTTCTGAATGCAAAGGAATAGGGGTATCATCTCTGAATTAAAAGCTGATTTTGTAGCTTGGTTGTTCATAGACAGTTTAAATATGGAAATTCTCTTCAATGGACTTATCTAAGTGGTGTAAAGGAAAAGCTCTAAATAGAAATTTTGCAGTGATATCAATAGTTTGGCATGAAGGGTTTCTGGCTGAGGATGTATCAGAGGAGTATGGAAAGGATGTGCAAGTGACTGACAGGATGCAGGAAGTCAATAGCAGGACATACAACAGAGACGGTCTTCACTGAAAGTCAGGTAGTTCTTAGAGTAAGTATGAAGTTAAAGTAGGGTTCTGATTGCTTCCTTGAGGTGATCAACACCAGCTCTGGCAACAGTCAGTATTTCACATCTCTGTCAACCCATGAATTTTCTGTTCCATACTTGAGATCTAATTTTGATTATCTCTAATTATGCCCCAGTGTCATGAAGGTAAAATTTGGATTTTTTTAGTACCAAGGATTGAACTCATGACCTATGCTTTCCAAGAAGACAGTCATGCCACTGAGCTAAATACCCAACTATGAAAGTGTTTTCTTTGTAGTATGGAAGATATCCACATTGTTTCTCAGAAAGTGTTGAACATTATTGGCATTTTTCGGTATTGTATGGCTATAATTTTTAAAAACAAACCAAAGGTGTCTTATGTAGTCTGTTTTCAAGTTTCACTTTGTGTGTGGGGTGTCTCAGTCAGGGTTTCTCTATTTTAGACAGCTCTGTAACTTAGGATAGCCCCAAATTCAAGGAAGAACTCCTTCACCAACCTCCCAAGATATATTTCTTATATCTGAATTGAAAGTGATCGCATGGTGACAGTGAGCTATAAATTACAGCTTGGGCCTGGATCCATTTTATATACTTATTTTTTAAAAAACAGTATTTTCCACTAACATTTGAGTTATTATTTGTGTATGATATTGGATGTTTATGTTTTGTTCTATGAAACCAAATTCATGTTTCAAAATGCTCTGAAGTATATTAAGAACCAAGTACTTACTGGCCTAAATGAGATTTGAAGGGACAGTATCTGCAGCCTATCAAAGTGATTGATGAGATTTTTTTCTTTTTTTAAAATTTTAAATTGGTAAAGTACAACAGAACAAGGCAGAATAAGGCCAACTAAGATCATACAGTGAAACTGGTACACAACTTCACAACAGGTTACTGGGATAACAGTAATAGGTATCACAGCATATTTTATTATCTTTATAATAGTTGTTCTTTCAAACACGTATATCAAAATGAGATGAAATACAGAACATTATAGTATTTATCAAAACACAATATTGAATAGAGCAATACCATTAATCAGAATAGAGCAAAAGTGATAAAAAGATTCGCCTTCAAAGAGATAGTAGAAGGAAGTCCCTCTTTATTTGTTATGGTCTGCTTCCCAGGAGACACTCAGATTTCTGGTTCCCATTTGCTAATGGGAGGGGGTGGTGACAGGAGAAGAGGGGTAGGGAAGAGGGATGTTTGGTTCTAGGCCGTGTATCAGTAGGTTCACTATTGCTTAGTAGGGAGACAGGCTGGTTGTTTGGTTTCACAGCGTCCTAAGTTCCCACATGGCGCGGATCTCAGGAGCTGCTGCTGTTTCTCTCCCTGGAAGGGCCGCATTCTGCCAGACTGCCACCGCTTATCAGGGAGAAGTGGTGCTTTCTTGCCTTCCAAGTGTCTTAAATTCCAGCACGGCATGGATCTCAGGAACTGCAGTTGGTTTGCCCCCTGGATAGGCCATGGTCTGCCACATCGCCACCACTTATCAGGGAAGGGAGGTGCTTGCTTGGCTTCCCAGTTGATTGATGGGAAAATTATCTGCCTCTGTGCTTTGTGGATGCTGGTCCTGCAGGCTTCTCACTATGAGCTCTGCTTTAGAGACAGTACACAGGGAATCTTGCAGTGACTCAGCACAAGATTCACTGCTCCTATTTCACTGTTACATTAGCAGTGAGTTGCAATCTATTATCAAATTTGCTGTCTTCAAAAATGTGTATATACACAAAATTAATGACCAAAACATGGATTTAAATTTGAAGAAATCAGTCTTCATTCAGCTGTTTTTTCTGGTTTTATTGGTTTAGTTTTATTGAGACAAGCTTTCTGTACATATATCAGCTGGATTTGAACACCCTATGGAGCCTAGAATTGACCAAACTCACCAAAGCCATCCTGTCTCAGCCTTTTGAGTGCTGGGGTTATAGATATGCACCACCACACTTTGCTTTTGATTCAGATTTGTAGGAGAGAATTTAAGATATCCCAAACCTGGTGGCTCAACCTTCATGTGAGAAATATATGTATGATCCTTTAGGAGGTGGTCACCTTTGAGGATGTGGCTGTGAACTTCAGCAATGAGGAGTGGACTTTGCTGAGTCCATCCCAAAAGAATCTCTACAGAGATGTGATGGCTGAAACCTTTAGGAACCTGACTGCAATAGGTAAGGACAAAATACTTTTGTCACTCATGCTGTCAGAATGTTGTATGTCTCTCATCAGTGCTGTTTCATTAAAAACAATGTGAAAATATTTTTAAAAATAGCTCAGACCTGGACACATTATATTATAACTATAAAAAAATCTATTAATTTGTATGTATTATTCTAATGAGCGCTGGTATTTCTATGTCTACAATTCAGGAGGCCTTGGGAATATCCAGGAAGCTAAAAAAGAATGCAAAATTTACTGGAGATACTTAAGGTAATTCGCACTCATGAGGAGAAGGAATATTCCTGAGTAATTAGTGAGTCAGCAAAAAAATGACTGCCAAAGAAATGAGGCACCATTCAATTTATTGTCAGTAAATTCTCCAAAGACGTATAAGCTAGGATATGTATAATGCGTGAATTAAATCATGAAAATATATGACATTACATATAGATGTGTATGAAAAGCATACACTTTGAGTTATGACATTCTCCCTTCAGTTTTTCTACCCATATGTACATGAGAATACAACACATTTATTATCTAAAAATTTCTACGATTGCAATAGAATTTGAAATAAAACTGAGTGCTCGTGTTTCCAAGCCATGCTCTAAAGAATCAACCATTCTGACTAAAATTCTTAGAAGGCTGGTGGAATGTTAAGTGCACTCACTCTGAATATCAGTGTGCAGTTGTCTCTAGAAATTGATCCCCTCATACTTGTCCTGGATATATTTTTAAAAATTCAAAATCCACATAAAATACTGATACATGCTTGCTCATATACAAAGCAGATCAAGTTATAATAGATCAGGCCTTGAAGAAGCTTAGCTATCTATCAATGGATTTGTGGAGAAGGAAAATGTTAATAGACTCTCTGTGATTGTGCATTCTTGTAAATTCAGCACACTAGGAATCAGATTTTGCAGAATGGCAAATTCAAGTTGAATTTCACAGCTTAATGATCAATGAAAAATCTCTTAAAATAGATTTTAATAAACCTATAGATTTTATGCTAATAGCTGTTGTTCATTTCCAGCATGGAAAAGAAAAAATTGTGTTATATAATGTCAAAAAATAAATAATATAATGTCATTTGCAATAAGAAATAGGTGGTTTTTTCTCCCATCAATTTGGTAAAATAGCTCAGCTATAAAACCTAAAAGTTCACAGGGTTTCTCTTAGATGAGAAAGCAAAATATAAATTGTGGAATGAAATGAAAGAGGGTTAATAGAGAAAAGTAATACTGACAATATGGAAAAGGGAACTACAGGTTAAGGACAGAAGGGAGATTGTGATGGGGAAACATATCAGAATGATCTGTATGTGCTACACATATTTACCCATGCTCAAAGTGAAGCTAAAGATTCTGCATTTCCAAAGGTTCCAAATCTTAAGATTTCCAAATGTGTACCATTCTTTTCGGTATGGTTGTTTTCAACATGTCTTATAAGGCCATTCTGTTACTTCATGGTCAGAATTTCTTAGGCATTAAAAACAGAACTTGACATTAATGCAGTCTTTAAGTTGAGACCCATTTCACTGTGAATTTTTCTTTTTTTTAATTTAAAGTAAGGAAAGACAAAAAAACAAAATAAGTAAAAATAATACCCCTTTCAAAGTGAAAATAAACAGTAAGAAGTTTAAAGACAGTGATTACATATGCTGCTCATAGAAATAGTTAATGAAATACAAAAGTGAAACATATGAAGTAGGGATTCAAACAGCGAGACTGCAAACAGTTTTGTTCAACTCTTCAATAAAAACTTTGTAATATGGTTATCAATCCTATATGTGACTTTTTTTACAGAAATGACAACCTAGGGAAGTCCTATGGACATACATCTTGGAATCAGTGTAAAGAAGTATTCCCTTGTACTGCAGAAGGTAATGTGAATGTGAAAATAGCAGAAACACACCACAATGTTCAGATCCACGAAAAATATTGCAGTGGAGGGAAACCCTATGTATGTCAGCAATGTGGAAAAGGGTTCACCAAATCTGGACATTGTAAGCAACATGAAAGAATTCACACTGGAGAGAAACCATATGTATGTCAGCAATGTGGGAAAGCTTTTAACACACGGGGAATTTTTAAGAAACATGAAAGAATTCACACTGGAGAGAAACCCTATGTATGTAAGCAATGTGGGAAAGCTTCTACCCGACGTGAAAATTGTAAGCAACATGAAAATATTCACACTGGAGAGAAACCATATGTATGTAAGCAATGCGGGAAAGGTTTCACCAAATCTGGACATTGTAAGCAACATGAAAGAATTCACACTGGAGAGAAACCATATGTATGTAAACAATGTGGAAAAGGTTTCACCAAATCTGGACATTGTAAGCAACATGAAAGAATTCACACTGGAGAGAAACCATATGTATGTAAGCAATGTGGAAAAGGTTTCACCAAATCTGGAAATTGTAAGCAACATGAAAAAATTCACGCTGGAGAGAAACCATATGTATGTAAGCAATGTGGAAAAGGTTTCACCAAATCTGGACATTGTAAGCAACATGAAAGGATTCACACTGGAGAGAAACCATATGTATGTAAACAATGTGGGAATGCTTTTAACACATTGGGAGTTATTAAGGAACATGAAAAAATTCACACTGGAGAGAAACCCTATGTATGTAAGCAATGTGGGAAAGCTTTTACCCAACATGGAAATTGTAAGCAACATGAAAGAATTCACACTGGAGAGAAACCCTATGTATGTGAGCAATGTGGGAAAGCTTTTAACACACGTGCATATTGTAAGGTTCATGAAAGAATTCACACTGGAGAGAAACCCTACATATGTAAGCAATGTGGAAAAGATTTTACCACTTCTGGAAATTGTAAGCAACATGAAAGAATTCACACTGGAGAGAAACCCTATATACAAAAGCAATGTGGGAAAGCTTTTACCCAACATGGACATTGTAAGCAATATGAAAGTTCACACTCAAGATAAAACCAGTGTATATGAGCATCATGAGAATTTTTTGAGCACAAGTTCATATTACATAATGCATGAAAAACTTCACACTCGGGCTGGAGATTTAGCTCAGTGGCATAAACGCCTGTCTTGCAAGCAGGCAGTCATGAGTTCGATCCCTGGTACCTATAAAAACAAAAAAGACAAAAAAAAAAAAAGAAGAAAATCTTCACACTGGGCAGAAAACTTATATATGTAAGGAATGTGTGAAAGGATTCAGCAGAAATGCTCATTGTCTAAAACATGAAAAAATTTACACTGTTGAGAAACCCTGTTTATGTGAAGAATATGGGAAAGCTTTCACCACACATGGATTTTGTAAGATACATCAATGACTCCACTCTGGTGAGAAATGCTATGTATATAACAATGTGGCAAATCTTTTACCACATACAGTCATTGCAAAACACATGAAGGAATTCACACTGGGAAGAACCACTGGCTACATAAGCAAGTGGAGCCACTTTCAGCAGCCAGATTGTAAGTGAAATACGTGAAGAAGCTCACACAAGAGATAAATCCTATGTGTTATGGGAATACTCTCAGCACACATGATCATTGTTACATATCTGAAAGAGCTCACTGGATCCTATGTGTATTAACAATGTGAGAAATATGGCAATACATGTTTGTTGTTAAATACATAGAAAAAGCAGCACTCTTCAGACAGTTTTGATCTAATTTTACTTTAAAAATTCCAAGTAGACTTCAAGAAATAATCAATACAGAATTTTGATGTCAATATTTCTTCACAAATTTTCCAGAAATGACAAATCTGAAGTGGAGCTCTACTCAAGTACATATTTTGTATGGTTTTCAGTTAATCACTTATACCTCTTTAGATTTTTTAAAGTGTCTTTGTGCTTCAACATGATATCTTGTAATTAAACATGGTAAACTGAAATGGGCTTATCACTTTCAAGTATGGATAGTGTCTATGTACTTAATATTTTGTCATTAAACCTTAATTTTTATATTTTTGGTGAATTATTTTTATTTAAAGAAAAAAAACTAAAAAGTGTAGAAATAATACAGAAGTTCTGAAAAATAAACAATCAGAAATCACTAGTTGATTAGTTACATATTGTCATCTTCAAAATAATTGTTCAAGTTACAAAATTAAAACATATAAAGTGATATTCAAATAATGACACTGCAAACATTCACCTCAGTGATCCAACAAAAACTTATTAATATGCTTATCTGTTCTACAAACTTGTTTTTTATCTTAAAGATGGTAAGATTAAACATGACAAAACAGAACAGTTCATACCGAAACAAGTTAAAGAAACAAAGCTTTCAAAGCAAGTCCACCGAGATGTTCATTTTCTATCTTACTGTCTCTAGTTTTCTTCAAAATAGTTGTTCCCATCTTCACATGCATTGAATATATACTGAACATTATAGAACTAGTCAAATAATTACAGGATGATGCAGGGTTTTTTGATCTTCAAGACTGATGTGGAGGAAGTTGATAATGATTACCATAATGTGTCTCATTCTCTCCCTGTTAGACATCTTTATTTTTATGTATGCTGAAACTGAACATAAGAGACTAAACTAATATCTCTCTGAAGAGTGAATAATAGTATCCTGAGAAGGAGAAAGGTGAGGGATTGCCTAAAAAAAGAAGGCAGAGCACATTGTTAAAAGTGTATCAGGATTTAAAAGCTACAGTAGTTCTGTTGCTCTGTTTAGTTTGATTATATTTTGTTCTGGTGTGTCTACTCATATTAGATTTGAGGGCACAGAGAGATAACCCAAAAATGGCAGGTTATACCATGATCGTAATTGTCCTTAATTTCCTATTAACTAAAACTGAAACCCTGTATTACTTACATTGTGTTACTATGACTGATCTCATTTGAAGCTGGTTTGTTTGAATGTTATTTGGCCTTGACTTATTTTATTCACATTTGGTATGCTTGCTGGTATCAAGTCCAAGAGTAAAGCCAACTACTCTGAAGATGATAAGATGTGAAAGATATATATTGGGGGGCTGGGGATTTAGCTCAGTTGCTTAAGCCCCTGCTTGGCTAGTATGAGGTTGTCAGTTTGATCCCCAGTACCAAAAAATAAGTAAATAAAAGATATAAATTCCAGTTTTAATTTTTTTTATTTAAGGAGAAAAAAACATAAAAAAACAAAGCAGGAAAAGGGTACAAATAATACAGAATTTAAAGAAAAAATACAGTAAGAAATCACTAGATAATAGGTTCCACATTGTCTTCCTAGAAACCGTTGTCCAAATTATAAAATTAAAGCATATAAAGTGAACATTCCTACAGCAAGATTGCAGACAGTTCTGTTCAATGATCCAACAAAAGCTCAGTAATATGGTTTTCCTTTCTACACACTCAAACAGGCACCTATATCCCTTAGACCACCTTCCTTTCCTCTCTTCTTCACAATAACAATTACACTTTTGGGTTTTTTTTTACTTCCATAGTCTTATTACTTTTTTTTTAAGAGAACAAAACCTCAAGTGAGTTAACAAAACAGAGTTGGTTAGAACATAAGGATGGGCATAGTACTTGACGCAAAAATAGAATGTCAGCTGATCAAAAATGGTTACCACTGTGCCTCTTGCTATTTTTAAAAACCGTTCCCTATATCATCAGGTATAATAGAATTGATCAAAACAGTACAGAACAAGACCAATGAAATGTAAACTGGAGACCTTACAGAATTTCAAAAGAAGATGATAGTCAAACCATAATGGGCATCATAGTAAATCTTACTGCCTACAATGTGGTTTCCTATACCCTCAAAATTGATACTATGAAACAAAATAGAATATAGTAAAATCAGGCAGAACAAGATGGGTAGAGGAATACTGCGGTTAAAATCAGGTTAATGGGAAAATAAAAAAGTTACTATAATATATCTCGCTATTTTTAAATTTAGTTTTCCTTTAATTGAAAAAGAATAAGAAAAATAGAATAATTTTTTAAAAAAGGGTGGAGATCAAGATAAAGAGACATTATAATAGAACAACACAGGTCAGAACTGAACAATTAAAGCATCATTTTGTTTCACCACCAGGTAATCTAACATAATAGTAGTCACCATAGTGCCTCTTTCCTTTACTTATTTGCGTATAACTTCGTATACTATAGAATCAACCACATCAAGACAGTGTGAAGCCATTCAAGAGAATGAAAGAATTACAGGGTATTTAGAGCCAGTTAACAGAAAATGAACAACGGTTTCTATATTATCTTTTTGCCTGTAAAAATTTTTATTTATACTACCACAGTAAAATATATTAAGATACAACATGTTAAAACCAGAGGAAACATGTACAACAACTTGATGGGAGTTCCAAAAAGATATTAAATCAGCACTAGCTTTTATGATGTGTTATTTGCTTCAGAATAGCTATTTGTACTATCACCGATACTAAAATCGAAAAACCCAGGGTAAAACCATTGCACTTAATGAGTGAAAACATTATATGGATTCAAACCAATATGATTGGGTATCATGATTACCACATACTTCTATGTATTATCATTTCTTATACTAGAGAATATATTTGGTATTTATACATGTGAGTTTGATTTATTTCAGTTAGGAGTATGGTCTCAGTTTGTGTCCATTTATTTATATGTCACTGTGATTGTTCTTTACAGCTGAGTACTACTCCATTGTATAGAAAGACCACAACTTTTCTATCCATTCCTCACTTGATGGACACTTAGGTTGTTTCCAAGACCTGGCTATTACAAACTGTGCTGCTATAAAAATGGGTGCACATATATCACTGTGGAATGATGCTTTCAGTTCTTCTGTGAATATGCCTAGAATTAGAATAGCTGGGCCAAAAGGTGCTTCCAGTCCCAGCTTTCTGAGAAATCTCCAGACTGAACTTCACAATGGTTGTACCAGTCTACACTCCCACAAACAGTGCAGGAGATTTCCTTTGTCCCAACAGCAACTCCATCATTTGTTGTTGGTGGTTTTCTTGATCTTGGCCATTCTTTCAGGAGTGAGATGAAATCTCAGTGTGGTTTTAATTTGCAATTCTCTAATGACCATGGATGGTGAACATTTTTTCATGTATTTCTTTGTCATTTGTATTTCTTCATCTCAAAATTGTTTATTCATCTCAGATGCTCATTTTTGGATTGGGTCTTTGAATTTTGGTGGTCTCATTTTTGAAAATTCTTTATATGTTTTAGACATAAGTTCTCTGTCTGAGGGGCAGTTCACTAAGATTTTTTCCCAGTTTGTGGGTTTTCTTTTCACTATACTGGAGATTTCTTTTGATGTGCAGAAACTTTTTAATAAGATGTGATCCTAATTATTGATTCTGGGAAGCATTTCCCATGCAGTTGGAGTCCTATTCATGAATTCTGTACCTACTCCTATGTTTTCAAGGTTTTTACCCAATTTGTCTTCCAATAGATTTAGTGTTTCTGTTTTAATATTTAGATCTTTGATCCATTTAGATTTTATTTTAGTGCATGGTGATAGGCATGGGTCTAGTTTTAGTTTGAGGCATATGGAGAGCCAGGTTTTCACCACCATTTATTAAAGAGAATGTCATTCTTCCAGTGAATATGTTTGGCCCCTTTATCAAAGATAAGGTGGTTGAGTGTGTTTGTAGTTGTGGTTATATCTTCTCATCTATTCCACTGATCTTTGGCTCTATTTTGGTTCCAGTACCATGTTGATTTTACAACAGTTGCTTTGTAGTATAACTTCAAGTCAGGGATTGTGGTACCTCCAGTCTTGCTTTTGCTGCCTCTAACTGTCTTTACTATTCTATGTTTCTTCTCATTTCAGATGAATTTTAGGGGTGAATTCTCAATTTCTATGAGGTATGTTGACGGTATTTTTATCGGGATTGCATTGCATCTGTACGAAAGTTTTAGGACAATGGCCATTTTCACAATATTTATTCTTCCTATCCATGAGCAAGTGATGTCTTTACATTTTCTGAGATCATCTTCAATTTCATTTTTCAGTGTGTAATAATTCTCCATGTATAGGTCTTTCACTTCTTTCATGAGAGTAATTTCTAAATATTTCATTTTTGGTTGCTAGTGTGAAGGGTGTGGCCTCTCTTATTTCTGTGACTTGGTTGTTAATGTATAGGAATGCTATTGATTTTTGAGTACTGATTCTGTATCCAGCTACATTACTGAATTTATTTATTATATCTAGGAATCTTTCAGTGGAGCTTCGGGGATCTTCTATATAAAGTATCATGTCATCTGCAAATAATGATAATTTAACTTCTTTTCCTATCTTTACACATTTTATTTCTCTCTCTTTTCTAATTGCTCTGGCTAGTATTTCCAGTACTATATTAAATAGGAGCTGTGATAAGGGACATCCTTGTCTTGTGGCTGATTTTAAATAAAGGCCTTCAGTTTTTGATCAGTTAGTATGGTACTGGCTGTTGTTTTGTCATTGCTGGCCTTAATTATATTGAGGTAACAACCCTTTATTCCAATTTTCTGCAAGGTTCTTATCATAAATGAAGGTTGGACCTTACCAAAAGCTTTTTCTGAATCTATAGTAATGATCGATAGTAATGATTATAACTTGTGGCTCTATTGATATGGTGTATTACATTTATTGATTTACATATATTAATCA